TCATGACCCCAGAGATTTATTGTGATATTTGCTACATATGGCTTTCACTTTCCACTCTGTCCCTCCAGTCCTATAAAGACAACTCACCACACACTTGGGCATACTTTAGATAAAGTTTCAATCTCTAAAAATTGAGCATTCATCTCTTTTAGGGGCCATCTCTGAGTCCAGGATTTTCAGGTTATAGTAGTCATGTCCACCCCAGTGTCCACCAAACTGGTAATAACTTTATTATTTATTCTTACTTTTAACTGAAGCCTCTGATCCTTTATAGAAGTTTGCCAAAATATGCATTTTTGTCTCCTCCAGCCACATTGGATTCCTCCTCATTAACCAAACTACTATCTTGTTTGGTATTATTCTTTACAATAGGCAGTGTATTAATTATTTGTCCTGTGACAGATTATCCTCCATAGTGACTGGGAATGACCAAGACCTTTTTCAAATTGGGGACCTTCAATTGGCCTCCCCAAGGAGTTTTCCAATTGCAACATGTTTCCTTGTATGTCTCTGGTCAATCTACATTTATTGGTCCAGTGTTTGCCCTTACCACATCTCCTACATAATCCAGGAGGCAGAGGCCTTCTATATGAGACATGGATGGAATTGCCTCGCCTGCAATTCTTTCTAATATGTTCCATTCTACCACAGTTAAAACATCTAGTATCCTGATGCCTTCTCAACCCCTGGGGATTGCTCTTCTTACCCAAGTTCCTGTTTCAGTACAGTTAGAGCATCTGGCCTCTTGGTGTCTTTTCAGACCTTTGGAATTTGCTTCTCCTTCCCAATCTTCTGTGTCATCATCTTTAGAACATTTAGCGTCTTGGTGTCTTTTTAAACCTTTTGAGATGGTCTCTCCTACCCAAGCTTCTGTATATTGGACTTTATACTCGAGATTAGCTGTATACAAACCCTATTCTTCCAGTGGTACTGATCTGATATTTAAAGGCAAAAGTATCCTTTTGCATAGTGGATTTGCATTTTCATAAGCTAGAGATTGTATGAACATTTTTCTAGAGTCTGAATCTGCTGCCTGTAACTCTACTGTCCGGGATAGTCTTTCTGAAAAGTCAATGAAATGTTCTGTTGGTCCCTGTGTTATCTTGGTATGCAGTTTTCCTCTTTCTCCTGGTTCACGAAACTCATCCCAGGCATTTAAAGTTGCTGTTCTGCATAAGGACAATATGTGCTCCTCATATTCAGCCTGAGTCGGTGGGTCAGCATAAAGACCCTCACCAAGAACCTTATCTTGGGGAGTTTCATAACTTTTGAGCCTTGGAACTCAAGGGCTTTTGCTTCCTCCCTCCATAAAGCGATGAGTGCTCTCAGGAGTTTCTAAGGCAGGGCAAAGGGAAAGAGTCACCTGGGTGCCAATGCAGCAGGGTGATAAACCCCACCTGCCACTGGCTGGGTTCATATTAGTTCCCCAGATCATGACCCACTCATGGGTTCAAATTCAGAACCAAATCTACTGACAAGAGATACTGGTGAATACAAGGTGTAGTCAGAGATCAGTAGTTTATTAGGGGAAGAAATTCACCCCAGGGAACCAGTAACCAGGTTTGCACCTGAGCAGGATGGAACCAGAAAAGCTTTCCAGTCAGCTCATCATAGGAAGAGAGACCCATGCTCCTCTCTATGGTTCTTAAATGCCTTCTACTTACCTGTGACCATGCTCAAGGTTGGTCAGTGGTACCTGTGATTGGGATCACTCCCTAAAGATCAGTGTGATACAAATTGTAAATAAAGAAGTCAAAGTATCAATATTTGCAGCTGATATGAAAGTATACACGACCAACCCCAAATATTCCATCAGAGAACTCATACAACTAATAAACACTTTTAGCAAAAAGTCTCTCATAATACAACATTAACAAAAAAAAATCAGTATCCCTCCTTTATACAAATGACAAGTGGTCTGAGAAATCAGGTAAACAATGCCTTTCACAATATCCTCAGCTAATATAAAAGATCTTGGGTAACTACAATCAAGGAAGTGAAGGTCTTCAAAAACTCATGTCTTTGAAAAAAGAAATTAAAGATGATATGGATGGTAAGGTCTCCCATGCTCTTGGATCAGTAGGATTAACATAGAAAAATGGTCCTACCAGAAGCAATCTACACATTCAAAAAAATACCCATCAAAATTTGAACATAATCCTCTCCAGATCTTGAAAGGACAATACTTAATTTTATTGGAAATACCAAAACCAGGATAGTTAACACAATTCTGAACAATAAAAGAACTTCTAGAGGTAGCACTATTCCTGATTTCAAGTTCTGCTACAGGCCTATAGTAATAAAAACAGAATGGTATTAACATAAAAACAGAAATGTTGATCTATACAATGGAATTGAAGACCCAGACAAGAATCCACCAGCCTATGGACACCTAATTTTTGCTGAAGAAGCCAGAGATAGACACTTGAAAATGATACCATCTCTAACAAATGGTGCTCATCAACCTGGATGTTTGAATGTAGAAGGATTCAAATAAATTCATATTCCTCATCCTTCCAAAAACTCAAGTCTAAGAAGATCAGGGACCTCAACATAAAACCAGAAGTACTGAACCACATAGAAGAGACAATGGGGATCCACCTTGATTGCCTGGGCACAGGAGACGACCTTCTGAACAAAACACCAGTAGACCAGGCACTATGATCAATAATTAATAAATGGGACAACATGAAATTTAAAAGCAACTTTCAGGTGAAAGTTACCATCAATTGGACAGGTGACAGCCAACAGAATGGAAAAATAACTTCACCAACCAACAAATGATAGAACACTAATATCAAAAATATTTAAAGAACTCAAGAAACTAGATATCAAAAAACCAAATAACCCAATTTTTAAAAGGAGTACAAACCTAAACTGAGGAATCTCAAATGGCTGAGAAACACAAGGAAATGTTCTACATCCTTAGACATCAGGGAAATGCAAATGAAAGCTACTTTGAGATTCTATGTTTCAGTTGTCAGAATGGCTGCGAACAATAACACAACTAATATCTCATGATAGTGCATTTGTTAACTATAAGGACACTCATTCATTGCTGGTGGGAGTGCAAACTTGAACAGTCACTATGGAAATCAATATGGAAGCTCCTCAGAAAATTGGGAAATGATTTACGTCAAGATTCAACTATACGATACTTTGGCTTATAACCAAAGACACACCATCTTACCACAAGAACATTTTCTTCACTATATTCATTGTGGCTTTGTACATAATACCCAGAACATAGAAACAACCCAGCTGCCTCACAACCAAAGAATGGGTGAATAAGATGTGGTACATTTACACAATAAAGTATTACTCAGCTGTTAAAAAAGATTACATCATGAAATTTGCAGGAAGATTGATGGAACTAGAAAAACTTATCTTGACTGAGGTAACCCAATTACAGAAACACAAATATTTTGTGTATTCACTTATAAGTTATGTTGGCTACTTTGAGTAAATAATAACCAAGCTGCAATCTCCAGACCCAGAGGCATTTGATAAAGAGGAGGGGTCTAAAGAGGATATATGAGTCTCCCTGGGAAGGGGAAATGGAATCGATTTTGTGGATGGACTGGGAGTGGATGGAAACTGGGAGAAGGATAGAACAAGTGGGACAGGAAGATGGGAAGGAAGGAGAGAGTGCTGGAAAAGTCATATCAAATTTCAGGCATTTGTGGGGGCTCTGTGCAAGCCGAGCAATGGAAGCTTCCTGGAATACCTGAGGGTGATCTTGAGGAACCTAATAATGGGGGATATGAACCCTCAACTGGTCATCTCTTATTTCCAGATAAGGCTCCAAGTGATGGGACTGTGTTGCATGCTGTTGAGATTTTGGCCAAAGAGGTACCATGCATATCCTCAAATAATCCAAGCACATGCTAAAACAGAGGGTTGCTGTTAGAAAACTGACATCAGGGCCCCCATACCAAGGTCAACATCTATACAGCTCATTAAATATAGAGAGGTTGAGATGGTTCCTGAATACAGCCTTCATCCCTATTTTCTAGTCTCTTTGGTTCTTTGAGGTCCTCTGTGGGCTACTGAAAAAGAATCATGGACACCAAGACAGCCACAAAAACTTGACCAACACTCTGTCCTACATGTAAGATGTGCTGGGGTAATAATGGTGCAGAACTTGTGGAAGTGGTCAACAAATGCCTGATTAACAAGATTCTGCTATACTCATAGCTTGGTGCCTTGTCCAGTGGTCATCAAAGAAGCTTCCTCCAGCATCAGATGGGAGTGACTGCAGAGACACAGAGTAGACATTATGCAGTTAAAGAGTGTAATTTGACATCTTAATTGGATCTCTCTTATGTGGCAGTTGGGGAGAAAAGATTGTAAGAATCAGAAGGGATGGAGGACCCCATGAGTATATAGCTCATTGAATCAACTAAGCAGGCCTCATATGGACTCACAGAAACTGAAGCAGCAAGTACATGTCCTTCATGGTTCTGCACCATGTCATTTGCATATATGTTTTGGCTGCTATCTTGGTGTTTTTGTAGGACTCCTAGCATTAGGACAAAATTGTTTCTAATAGTGTTGCCTGCTCTTGGAACACTTATCCTTCTATTGTGTTACCTTGTCTTACTGTATTTTATTTTGTTGTGTTTGGTTATCTCTTGGAGGCTCTTTTCTGAAAGGAAACCAAATGGGTGTGAATGTGGGGGAGGGGGAGTGTTGGAAATTTTAGAGGAGTGGATGTAAAGTAATCTGTGGTTAGAATGGGTTTATCATACTAGATTCTATTTCAAATTAAAAGCAAAGAGTATTTGTACACTGTTCAATAGAATTAAGCCCAATGATCTAATGGTGAATATTACAAAGGATAAGATTAAGGAAGAATTGGATTTGTATACCACTAAGTCAAAGTCTACTTCAGTGAGAGGTTAAACATTATCTTGTTGATGAGGCAATGAAGCTAGGAAATAAAACATGTTGATTCCTCAGCCACATGATCAAAACTCTGTGCAGTAAGAAGGGTCTCCATGGATCCATTCACGGTCCTGGTACTCAGCCTCTCCTTTCTGCTTCTCCTCTCACTCTGGAGACAGAAGACTGAAAGAGGGAAGCTTCCTCCTGGCCCCACTCCTCTCCCACTTATTGGCAATTTCTTCCAGATAGATGTGAAGAATATCCAGAAATCCTTTACCAAAGTAAGTATGCTTTATGCTCTTCTCGAACTTCGAAAATGGATATAAGTCAAATGTTTTCAATGAAATACTGGAGGCAATAATATTAAAAATGATCATATAGTCAAAATTAGGTAAAGTTTTTTATTTCTTCTTTTTTTTCCTTTTTTGCCCCTTTCCTGGTCAAGAATTCAGTAATGAGCTATATGTTTCAGGTAGAGAATATCTAGGTCATTGTTCTTTATAATATAAATCACAAGATCCTAAAGGTTCTATATACTTCTTCACATCCTTGTTTTATTATTGTTTTCCATTGTTTTTCACTGAAGGTTGAGATTGAGGAATAGTTCATCAATGAGTCAGAATTTTGGACACTTAATGTTACTGGGATTAACCCCTGTTATTGGACTCTAAAAACTAACTGATTTAAATAAATACTTACAGGGCATAGGCTCACACACAAAATGAAATACATATACTGTGTGACCAATATATGTAGGAGTACCCAAAATCTGTTTTCATTTTAAACAAACCTATTCTGAGGGAGAGAACACTGTATAATAAATATCTCTTTATTCTACACATGTTGGATGCTCAAATTCATCTTCTAAGTGTTCACTCTCATTTTTTGTAACTATAGAGGGGAACTGGATGTGATCATTTGTGGTGACCTCACAAAAATTTCTACTCTTTATCACAGGGATCACTAGTTTTCCACAGGAGGAGTGTCAAAGCTGATACTAAAATTTTCATTCAACTATTGATGTTGATTTCATATTGGAATGATCATGAGAATGATTAGAAATCATTCATGCATCTAATACTGAATAATCAGAGTGCCAATTTTGAGATTTTATTTACTTGATATAGGTTCCATAAAATAAATGGGGTTTTCTTTTTACTTCATTTTATTTGTGAAATAAGACAAAGAGATCTGGCAAGTGTTTTAAAGTATTTTGTTTCATTGTCACCTATGGTTCAACTACTGGGTATTTGCCTAGGACACTGTAGGAAACATAAGTGATAATCACCATATTGATAGATATCAGAAACTTCTGCTACTGACTTTCCCTGCATAAAAAACATTAACATACAATTAAGTCAGCCTCAATGAGGTTGACTATATGGAGAATGAGGTGACATTATTTTTGTGCTAATATTTACCTTTACTTTCCTGTTCCCAGCTCTCAAAAGTCTACGGCCCTGTGTTTACTCTGTATTTTGGCCAACAGCCCACTGTGGTATTGCATGGCTACAATGCAGTGAAGGAAGCTCTGATTGACCATGGGGAGGAGTTTTCTGGAAGAGGAAGGTTCCCAGTTCTTGATAAAATTTTTAATGGCCTTGGTAAGTGTACATGTACTTATGTGTGTGATAGGGAGTGTCCATAGTGAGCCTGAGGATGGAAAACAAAATCTGTACTTGCTCCTCAGACACAGGTTGGGACTCTATGGCTACCCTTAATCAGCTCTCTCTTCTATCTCTGGCCTCTAATTCTACTTTTTCCATTTGTTCAGGAGTCATTTTTAGCAATGGAAATACATGGAAAGAGATGAAGCGCTTTTCCCTCACCACCCTGCGGAATTTAGGCATGGGAAAAAGGAGCATTGAGGACCGTGTTCAAGAGGAAGCACAGTGCCTTGTGGAGGAACTGAGGAAAACCAATGGTAAGTGCAGGTTTATAGTAAAACTTTTGCATCTTTGTCTGGTACAACAGCTCTCATCCTGTGGATTGTGAACCCTTAGGCAATTGAATGACCCTTTCATAGTGGTCACCTAAGACCATCAAAAAACACAAACATTTACAATATGATTGGTAACAGTAGCAAAATTACAGTTAGGAATTAGCAATGAAAATAATTTTATGTTTGGGGATCACCACAACATGAGGAACTATATTAACAGGTCAAAGTATTAGGAAAATTGAGAATCACTGGTCTAGTATGATTGTGTAAGTCTCGTGGTTCCTATCCTATTCAATCTTTTATTTGAAATGAGACCTCATACTAATTTTCCATTGCATTTTGGAGCTATGCATTCTCCTTAACACAAGTGTGGTTTCCCTATTGTGTATCATCTAACCAGATACTGATAATGGTGACAATGTCATGAAGTATATTAAGGGACCTAAATTACGTGACATTGATGTTTATTTTTTGAACTGCATTTCTCTCCATTGCTTCATTTCTGTATCCTCAATTCCTTCAAGGATCATTTTCACATTCGTTCATAACAGTAATGTAATGTAGGATCTTCATTTCTTAGCTAAGTGTAAAAGACTTTTCATCAATTATTGTATCGCTTTTTAATAACATGATTTCACAAATTTTCATTATTTCTTCTAACAAATGACTTAGTGTTTAGATTCATATCTTTTACTGAAACATATTTCAACACCAATATTCAAAATTTACTTACTTGGAAATTATCCTATGATTCATTTAACTAGACAAGAAATGTTTTCATTGTCTCTCTAGTAGTTCCCTACATGTCTTAGTTTAGCATATTATTTTCATATTTCCTCTTTTGTGTTAGAAAATTGATGACTGTTCCTTTGGTAATACATTGAATGCCACTTACCTAGTAAGTTCTTATAATGAGAAATGTTATCTTCTTTCGTTCTAAATTGTGTGGCTCTCCTGGAACTCACTCTGTAGACTAGGCTGGCCTTGCACTCAGAAAGCCACCTATCTCTGCTTCACAAGAGCTGGAGTTGAAGGCATGCACTACAACACCAAGTGCAAAATATTTATTTCTTAAGGAACAAAATTAATTGGTTGAAACATGCACATGAGAAAAGGAAAATCTTCATTGGTTTCCTCATTATTTTCCCCACCTGGGATGGATATTAAAAATAAAGGCTATCACATCATTTAGTTTTGTAAACAGATCTTACTTTTTCTTCCATATACCAATGATATATATTGATTTTCAAATTGTTCTCCTTATTCCTGAATGTAACTGCATAGCATTGTCATTTTTGTTCACTTTAGTAGAACACTGCATGTTGTTTACTAGTATTCATTAAAAAGAAAAATTACAGATCTCCACAATTCAATGTCTTCCTAAGTTCTATATGATCTATAGACATAGCAGACAAAAGTGATTGAGCTATGATCATTAGAACATTAGGTTTATAAAAGTCTTTTGAACAAAATAGCATTTGCATCTGAGATTAATGTATATAAACAACACAGTAGACATGATCTTCTATTACTTAACCACTGAGAAGGCCAACTCAAGATTAAGGTTAACTTTATTGCTGATTCTTCACCAGATGAGTATTGGCTGTTAATATTACTAATTAAGACACTGCTTAAAACGTATAAAATAACTTAACTGTTAACAAAGGCAAAATGTCTTCTTTGTATATTTTAATGGCATTTCACAATTGTTCCCAAATCTCCAGGTTTACCCTGTGACCCCTCCTTCATCCTGACATGTGCTCCTTGCAATGTCATCTGCTCCATTGTTTTCCAAAATCGTTTTGATTATAAAGATAAGCATGTTCTTAACTTGTTGAAATATCTGGAAGAGAACGCCAAGATTCTGAGTGCCCCATGGATACAGGTGAAACCAATTTCCTTTCCTCCTGAGGACATATGTATGGTCTTTCTTTCTTACAAGTCAAACTCAATATGGACCAAGCAGAGAGCTGAGCAGATACTAAGTTCTGACTAACATATTTTGGAATAATTATCTAGGAGGAAGATCTAAGTCATTTGCTGTAAAAGTAGAAAGATATGAGGAAAAATGTGAGAATGGCTCACCTGATAGCTTCCTATACATTGACATTTAGCAATGACTTCCACAGAGCTGTTGGAATAGAGTACTGTATTTGCTTCTAGATGGTTGGCCAGTCATTCATAGGACATTCTTTTACTACGCAAATTTATTGGCTTTTTTCCAACAATTACATTCATCCTTATCATATGAAAATGTAGGAATATTTTAGTTAAGACATACTATTCTCTTACAAGAGGAAGAATATTTGTGGCAATGACAACTGCCATGAAACACTGAATAGCTTCAGTGGTTTGATACATCAGCTGGGGTAAATGACAAGATGAATGGTTTGATGGTGCTTATAACTGGAAAAGCTCCACAGAGTTTTCCAGTGCTGAATTGGCATCTCCTGGACATTGCAATAGAAGTTATTGTGATATATGTGTATATATAATTTTACTTTATGTATTTAATATTTATCATCACTGAGTATGCCTGGAAAATAGTGTCTGAATCACTTGCATGTCCTACATATACACACACTCCCTGAGGGGTATTAGGCATTTTTGAACTGTACCCACTTCTATATACCCTTTTTGTATAAAAAGTTAGTTCATAGTAACAATATCTGCAGACTCTAGATTTATGCTGTAATCAGGTCACCAAACCATCTTAACTACCACTGTCACCTGAAAGTGTGACTGTGAGTAATCTGCTTATATATAATTTCATACTTGCAGAAAAAATTCATATGAACCATCAATGATCTAACATGAATGTGCTACACACCAAAAAGATAATGAATGTAGAAAATTTACTGTGGTCTTTGACCATTTAGGCAGAGATTTCTCCCTCATTTCCATTAGAATAGAAAATTACCATGTATGAAAATAAACCACTTCCTCAAGGAACAGAACATTTATATCTAAGCTGTAACTGCAAATCAAGCTTTCTATATGCTATAAATATCTCTTACTTTTATCATTATAGTGTATTCATTTAGCAATTTTTTGCATTTTCTTATAGGTTTGCAATGCTTTTCCTGCTATTCTTGATTATTGTCCAGGAAGTCATAACATATTCCATAAAAATTATACTTATCTTAAAAGTTACTTTTTGGAGAAAATAAAGGAGCATGCAGAATCATTGGATGTCACAAATCCCCGGGACTTCATTGATTATTACCTAATTAAAGGGAGGCAGGTAAAGTATTAATATATATTTCTATACTTATATGTATATATAGATGCTTACATTTTGTATAAAATGACATGATAATACACATTTATGCACTTAATACATTGGTCAATTTTTGATATTTCATATTTATTATGTGTGTGAATAAGTCTAAAAGAAATAAAGTGAATTTCTTCATTAGTGCACATTAGCCCTGTTCTTTAAAATAAGAACCAAAAAGAAAAGCTAAAACAATCTAGCAGAGTAGAAAGATAATACAAAAGACAGATAATGCGAAACAAACTACAATATAATCACAAATCATAAATTGTTCTGTATTAACATGAGCATTGGCATCATCATATAGTGTATTGAATACTTGCAAGTCTTATACATGAAAATTAATCTGGATGTATTTGCAATTGTAGATACTATGGCAAATTTAAAAGGCCTGAATGATGTAGAGAGAGGTGTGGAATAGGAACAAGTATGTGGATAGAAGAAAAATTATTCATTTTACCTACCAACCACAGTTCCCCCTCCCTCACCTCCTCTCGCTCCTCCCCCACCTCCCTCCAAATCACAACAATCTACTCCTCAGAAAGGGTAAGGCCTCCCATGGGGAGTCAACAAAGCCTGACACAGTCAGTTGAGACAGGACCAAGCACCCTTCCCTAGCAGGCCAAGCAAGGCATCCCACCATATGGAATGTGCTTCAAATGCCAGCTCATGTACCAGTGATAGATCATTGTCCTACTGCCAGGGGTCCCACAAACAGCGCTGGCTACAAAACTGTCACCTACATGCAGAAGGACTAGTTTGGACCCATGTTGTCTCCCCAGGCAGGATCTAGAGTTTATGAGCTACCACAAGTTTGGGTCAGCTGTCTCTGTGGATTCCACATCATAATCTTCACACACACACACACACACACACACACACACACACACACACACACACACACACACCTCCAACCCGCTGCTCACATATCCCTTCTCCCTCTTTTTGACTGGACTCCCTTAACTTGGCCTGGTGCTTGGTTGTGGAGCTCTGCATCTGCTTCTACCAGTTACTAGATAAAGACTCTATGAAGACATAGTAGCCACCCATCTGATTACAGGGATGGCAGGTGAGGGACCCTCTCCATTATTGCTAGGGTCCTTAGCTGGGATCATCCTTGTGGATCCCTGAGAATTTCCCTAGAATCAGGTGTCTCTCTAGGCCCCCAATGGTTCCCTCTGTAGAGATACCTCTTTCATTGCTCTCCCACTCCATCCCTCCCCCAAATCGACCATCCAATTCCCTCATGTTCTCATCCCCATTTCCTCCCCTTTACCATCTATAAGTGGTGAATCACCAATACGTAAGCACATAGGGTATGGGTATATTTACTGGGGAAATATGTCTTACTTACAGTGCACCTAGCCAACTGGCAGGAAAGCAGAACAAGTCAATGCAACAGAGAGAAGAGAGCTTTCCCACGTGTGTCCCTGACTCTTCAGGTGCACTCACATCATCCTGTCCATGCCCTAGGGGTTGTGGTCAGGTATACCTGTAGCAGGCCACAGGAGGCTGGGTCAGGATGACCCCCTGCACCATCCCCCCCACCATTCCCCCAGTTTACCCAAGAACTCTCATCTATTTGCCTTTCCCAGTGTGATCCATGTGTCCCTCTTAGGAAATTCCTTATTACCTAGCTTCTCTGGAGCTGTGGATTGTGGTCTGGCTATCCTTTGCTTTAGATCTAATATCCACCTATGAGTGAGTACATACTGTGTTTGTCATTCTGGGTCTGGGTTAACTCACTCGGGATTTTTTTTTCTTTCAAGTTCCATCCGTTTGTCTACAAATGTCATTGTTTTTTTACAGCCAAATAATACTTCATTGTGTAAATGTACCACATTTTCTTTATCCATTCTTCAATTGAGTGGCATCTAGTTTCTTTCCATGTTCTGGCTATTATGAATAATGCTACTTTGAAAATATTTCGCCAGTGTCCTTGTGAGCACCCTTTGGGTATATGCCCAAGATTGGTAATGCTGGTTGATGTTGACTGATTCCCAGTTTTCTGAGAAAGTGCCACACTGATTTTCAATGGGACTGTATAAGTCTGTACTCCCACCAGCAGTGGAGGAGTGTTCCCTTTACACCACATCCTGTCCAACACTGGCTATCATTGGTGTATATAATCTTAGTGATTCTGACAGATGTAAAATGGTATTCGTTTTGTGTAACAAAAAAAAAATGACCCCCAAGACCAGGTTGGAGAAACCCACAGAAACAGCTGTCCTGAACAAGGAGGAGATCATAGACCCCAGACTGATAGCATAGGACCAATCCAGACCCCCTGAATGAGGATGTCAGTTTGGAGGTCTGGTTAATCTATGGGGGTTCTGGTAGTGGATCTGCATTTATCCCTAGAACATGAATGAACTTTGGGAGCCCACTCCACATAGAGAGAGGATACTCTCTCAGCCTAGACATACAGGGGAGGGTCTAGGCCCTGTTCCAGATGATGTGACAGACTTTGAAGATTCCCTTATGGAAGGCCTCATCCTCCCTGGGGAGCAGAAAAGGGTGGAATAGGAAGACAGAGTGTAGCAGGGGAGGAGGGAATGGAGAGGGAATTGAGATTGACACATAAAACAAGATTGTTTCTAGTTTAAAATAATTTTTTAAAAAAGGTTAAAATATTGACCCCGAGACTGATGTTGGGGTTCAAACTTCAAGCTGAAGATCAGAAAAGCAAAACAGCCAAGCCACTGGCTCTTACCTCTACTTCAGGCTAAAAGGGCTGGTCCTGTCTCCATAAGCTCTCACCAAGCCTCAGATTGATGCTTCTCCTCGTCATTTCTGGAGAAACCATGCCTGATACTAACTGAAGACCCAGCTGCCATCATCAATACCTCTCTAATGCTGGGATTAAAGGAATGAGCTCTGTTACTCTTTTAGATGGTTTCAATCTTGTGTAGCCCTGGGTGGCCTTGAACTCAGAGAGATCCATTTGCCTTTGCCTCTGAAGTCCTGGGATTAAAGGTGTATGCCACCACTGCCTGGGATTCTATGGCTAGTATTATGGTTGCTTTGCAATTTTAAAATCCATTGGCTTTAATAAATTATGAATAATATGTCGCCACAATTCAACTTTTTGTCTAATACAAAAAAGAGAAGGCTACAACCAACCTAAGAAAAGCTATATACAATAATTACAATAAGTGGCAGGTTTTGATGAGTCCCCCATGGAAGGCCTCACTATCCTTGAGGAGCAGGTGGAGGGTTAATTGTGGGGGTTGATATGGAGCATGGGAGGATGGGAGGGACTGATATGTAAAATTATTGTTCATAAATAAAAAATAAGTATAATAAGTATATATAATATATACAGGCAATAAGCACATTAATAATGTCTAGTCCATTTGCATTTGACAAATTCAGAGAAAAATCTTCACTATCTATCCTATCATGGGGAGTTCAAAGTCTTATACCTAATTTATTTTCTATTATAATTTGCCTTATCAAATGATCTTTTAATGTCTTTCAACCTTTTACATTTTACATATCTTTAGTGAGTTTCTTATCTGAGTCTGGTAAATGAGGAAAACTACAACTATCTATTCTTCAACTCCCTGAGGGATCTGAGAAGGAAATAATATTAACTAGGCAAACAGGAAGCACAAACAAGCATTTCCGGAAAAAAAAATGTGAGAAATGGCAAAAACAGCTAGCTGCCTGGAGAGTTACCCAAAGTTGCTCTGTAATGTTGGGGCATCTATCTTTGGCCTATAGGTCTCACATATCTCATGGACTTTTCTGTGAAGCAGAATTTTTGAAAGACTATCCTACCTTGTCTTGGCAAGGTTTGCAGTCACTCTCTTTGTGGTCCTATTTGTCCAATTTGGACTGCATACTGTCACCAGTGAAGGCAAGGGCATGCTCTTGCCCAGTGGTTACTTTTGCCACAAAGAAAATAAACTCCATGTGGGGTTTCTTCAATGCCCATCATCTTGCCTGAAATATATTCGTGCAGCAAGTGCAAACATGTCTCATTGTCATAAAAAAGAACCTATGTTATTAAAGTATTTTAAATGCAATATTCTGTAGATTTCTGAAGTTTTTGAAGATGACCTGTTTATACAAAATCTGTTTGACTTGAAATCATACCTAACATGACGACAGGTTCAGCTGTAACAGGTGGCTAATTACTCACCTGCATTTCCCCATTATCCTATACAGTTGGTAATAATAACATTCAAGGACTAGAAATTTGCATTGCATTGATACATGAGCTGTATAGGTATAGTACCTTGAACAAGATTAGAAATATATGTACAAGATATTTTAACAAAATTAATCTCAAATTTGTATCACTATACAATATTTGTATACAATATACAAAATCCGATCCAATATACAATATTTAAAACTAGTAGTTGTTTTTTTAAAAGTAGATTTAATAATATGCCTTTTTGTCTTATCCTATCAATATCCTCTTTTTTCTTTTCAGAGTAGATTCAACCATATACCCCTTTTTATCCAATCATATCTGTATTCTTTTTTTTTTTCAAAACAAAAGCCTTGAACCTAATATCCTTTGTTAACTACCTAGGATCCTATCAACATTTTGCAATCAATCCCCCAAACAATGACAAATATCCATGACTCAAAGAATAACCCAAAACTACCACTCCACCTCTTGGGAATGTGGGCATCATGTTCTTAAAGTAGCTTCCTGTTGTCTGGGGGCAACAACATCTTTAGAGGATCCTGAAAAGAAAAATAAATTTGGGTTAATTGTCAAGTTGTGTAGGACTTAGCTCAAGTCCTGGCTAGAGTAGTCTTTGAGTCTGCATCATCTCAGGTAGCCACCTCAAAATTGTACTGAGGAGTGTCTGTAGAGCTAGATGATCTCTGATGGCCACCTCGAAATTGTTTTGAGCAGTTCGTAGTCTACAGTCAATTTTTAGTTGGAGTTGTTCAGTATAATGACATTTTAATAGTCCTCGGGAAATTGTCATTCTGAGGCCCCATCCTCCTTTTGGAGACTTCAAAAGTCAATGTTAGGGATTGTCATGGTTCATTGTAGAAAACTAGTAGAGACTCAAACCTGAAATCATATAAGAGAAGGTAGATGAAACCTTTTGTAGAATTAGTTAGTACTCTATATGACCATTAATGTCATGACAAAAACTTTAAAATACATATATATTAATATTACAAATTTTTATATAAATATAAGATTGATGTTTTAAGAAAAGCTGTTAAAAGTCAAGATGAAATCAAAAGATTATGAGATTAGTGGCAATTCAAAAGATCTTAAATATTTGTTTTTCTTCTGTTTCATATCAGGTGGCTCTTCTGACATGAGACAAAGATTTTTAATTTTTGTTGGACAAGCATGTTTGGGCTTACAGGAGACAGCTACACTAAAACTCCAAAGCCAGCTTTAATCTTTAATTAGAATGGTACTATAAAAGAGCCATTTTCATTGTGTGTCTGTAGAGAAAATCAGAAACAATCATTTGGGAAGATTTATGAAAATTTATCCTGTTGGAAATATGATATTAAGAATAGGTTGATTTATTCCTTCCCTTGGGAAATTTTTCCTGGATTATTTGTCCCTTTTCTTCAGATGTCTCAGTTGTCCAGTTGTCTCCAAATTCCTTAGCTTGATACATTTATTCTCCTGAAAAGACAAAAAAAAAAAAAAACCCTTCCCCAACCCTAAATTTCTGGGGGAGGTTCTCGTTTGGCAGCTTATATCTGAACAAATAAAAAACATTTGTTTGTTTTATAGGTTAGTTTAAATTAAATGGCCATGCTGCTTAATAAACTATCTTCTATTCTAATTAAGAGGTGCTTGTTCAAATTGAATCTTTATCCATTTTGATGGTATCCATAGCTTTTCTTCACCTGTGGAACAAAAGCAAAACTTCTTCCCCAGTGTAAAACATATCCAGGTATCCATTCTGAAGTCAACACATCTTTGAAGTATACAGGCTGGTTTAATTTCCTAATTTTTCTATAAGCCAATGTCTCTCCACAACTATTGTTTCTTTCTCATTAGAATTCAAAAAATTCAAAGTTAATAAAGCAGTATGCAATCAATTTTGGGGGTTCTTTATCATCCCTTTCTGTTTATTTAGCATATCTTTAAGAATTTGATTTGATCTTTCTGTAACTCCTTGCCCTGTTGGAGTATGCTTTATAATATAATAAGCAAAAACCATTTCATTTTCTTAGATACATATGTTGGGGCATTGTCTGCCTTAATTTGTGCAGGTATAACCATGATTGCCCTAAATTCTAGGAAATGTGTGATTACAGAATAAGCCATTTCCAAATTCAAAGCAGTTGCCTATTGAAAACTTGTATAGGTATTAATGGTGTGTTGTACATCATTTAATTTTCCAAATTCTACAATATGGAACGCATCCATCTGCCAGATGTCATTACTTTGAGTACCCTTTGGGTTGCTTTCTGCAGATAATAGAGTTTAGTGTTATAAAAAGTCAGTAGGAAAATTCCTTACAATACCTTTGTCATCTTAGAAGTGATGGAAAAGCTTTTTTCAAAAATTGCTATTGACATGGTGTTTTTTATGCTGTCCTGAGGCCTTTAGCACATTTCCTATCAAAAGTAGATTAATTTTGTTATTACCTTGTGCTAGATGGCCTGGCAGAGCTGTATTGGAATGGAGGTGTGTTATATATATGGAATGACTCCTATAACAGATTATGTCTTGTAAGTGAATAAAGCATAAAGTCAATTCTGTATTATCTAATATAAATTCATTGGTTTCAATAAGCTGATTCAAGAAATCGTGAATGCTTCTTTTGGGCTCTGTATCACTTTTTTGTTTGTTTGTTTTTCAAGATATGGTTTCTCTGTATTGCTTTGGAGCCTGTCCTGGAACTCAATTTATAGACCAGGCTGGCTTAGAACTCACAGTGATCTGCCTGCCGAGTACTGGGATTAAAGGCAGGCACCACCAATGCCTGGCCCTGTATAACTTTTATGAATGATTTAGGTAGGTCTTTCCGGTTTCTCAAATTCTCTCCCAAGTTTTTGAAGCTGATGCATGGCATAAACCCAAGAGGTGTCATCATATAGACATTGCCTTTCTAAAGTAGCTTAATCTCCAAGAATTTGATCTTGGGAAATAGCCTTATCTCTTGTTTAGCCTTTTGTTCAATATTCTTAGCCTCTTCTATGAACCAGAAACTGTAATTGTGATCCAGGCTCTTGGACAGCTTTAATCAAATCTATCCAATCTATAGGCATAACCCTATTGCAAACAGACCATGTGTTTTCATCTTCTTCACAAATTGTGAATGGATGACCTATGAGACTACAAATTCCTTGCATTTCCCTAAACCTATCATTGTCATAGGCTTCCATTCAGCTCTTATAACACCTCTTTCATTTTCCACTTCCTGCAGAGTTACTGGTATATTAATGGTGATTTTCTTAAGACCTTTGAGTGCTGTTTTTTAACCTGAAAATGCAATGCTGAACTTGCTTTTTCCATGTTATTCCTCAGTCCAGGTTTAAAAATCTCTATAATCTCCAGGGGACCATGTATGTCTCTCTTAGAATCCTCCTTGTTTCCTAGCTTCTCTGGCAGTGGATTGTAGGCTGGTAATCTTTTGCTCTGTGTCTAAAATCCATATATAAATTAGTTCATACCATATTTGTTTCTTCTAGTTTTTTAACAAGTTTCTCTAAGGCCTGTAGATCAGCCCTCTGTCAGATGTGAGGTTGAAGATGTTTTCCCAGTCCTTAGGCAATCACTATGTCTTATTGGCAGTGTCATTTGCCCTACAAAAGCTTTTCAGTTTTATGAGATGTATTTATTGATTGTTGCTCTCTATGTCTGTGCTATAGGTGTTATATTTAGGAAGTAGTCTCCTGTGCCAATTTATTCAAGGCTACCTCCCACTTTCTCTTCTGTGAGGTTCAGTGTATCTGGATTTATTTATGTTGAGGTTTTTAATCCACTTTGACTTGAGTTTTGTGCATGGTGATAGATATGGATCTATTTTCAATCTTATACATGTTGACATCTAGATATGCCAGCACCATCTGTTGAAGATGCTTTTCTTTTATCATACTGTTTCAGCTTATTTGTCAGAAATCTGGTGTTCATAGGTGTGTAGGTTTTTACGACTAGGGCAATGTAGTAGAGCTTGAAGTCAAGGATGGTGATGCCTCTGGAAGTTCTTTTATTGTACAGGATTGTTTTAGTTATCCTTGGATTTTTGTTTTTTCCATATCAAGTTGAATATTATTATTTTGAGATCTGTGAAGAAATGTTTTGGTATTTTATGAGTATTGCATTAAATATGCATACTGCTTTTGGTAAGATTGTCATTTTTATTATGTTGACCCTATCCATCCAAGAGCAAAAAATAAATTTTAATTGGGTACAATTTCTGATTAATTTGCCACAGTGGGATTGAAAATTGCTAACTATTGGATATTGTGTGAAGTTTAACTGTGTTGTCACTGTGTAACTTTAAAAAATACATTTCCCTATGCAATTTCATTGGGACTCTCATCAAAAATCAATTAACAGTAAACATACAGTTTGATTATGGGAATCAATTTGCTTGATTCATCATTATTTCTGTACTTGCTAGTGGCCTAATGTCCCAAGTTCTTCATCAATAAAACATTTTAATAATATTTAAAATCCAGGAATGTATGTCCCTCTACTTTGCTGTTGACTTTTTCCAGACTGCTTGACCATTCTGGATGTTATAAATTCCAGTATGACTTTTAGGATTTTCCTCTCCATTCTTTCAAAGGGGCTGATAGAGATTTGTATAGAGATTTATTTAATCCATCAATATTACAGGTATGTGCCATTTTCAAAATTACAGGAAAATTTTACATGTATTTTCTGTCACCAATTTTGAATACACTGTGATGGCATTTAATGTATCCACAAATACTATACCAACGCTATAGTTTCAAAATCTTCCAGCACTTTACAATGCAAACCACAGCTACTAAGCCATCACTCCCATTACTCCATTTCTATTAGTAAGTGTCAGTGTGATTTCATCTATATAGAGGTTGCTTTGTCTCTCTAAGAGAGTAAATTAACATCTAATAAACTCATAGTATTTGAGGCTTTTCCATATTTCTTCTTGGATTTACAAAATCTTGTATGTTCTTTTCCCTTCTGTTTCTTTCTGTATGCCCTTTCTGTTAAAGCAAACTTCATTTACGAGCATGAGAACTCATGCTCTTATTCATCATTCATGCATCTCTGCAGTATTTCTACATCTGACTCTTTTGAGCTATTTATCAATGAGCATCTGTGCACGCATTGTTTTATGGCATCTTTCACTTTCTGTATGCATATACCAATACTGGGTTTTCTGATTAAACTGCAATTTCATATTTACTTTTGTAAGAATATCTTAAATTTTCAACAGACAATATACAATTTCATGGCTACAAGATCCTTTATTTTCCATTCTTAAGTTTCTATTTCATGTGCAAGGCAGTTTTGCCCACATGTGAATCTGTGCACATCTGGACCTCAGAGCTCTTTGTGTCTTGATCTGTATATCAATATCACATTGTTTTCATGCTGTGGTCTGCAGTAGGCTTTCACATTTGGAAAGTTCAAATATTTCTCCACAGTTTCACTTAAATTTTAGTATTTGTTTTCATATTTGAGCATTAGTACAAATAGAAATGATTCATTAGAATACTTTGAGTATTATTTCCATCTTACCACTATTGCAACTTCCAAATGCTTGTACATGAGGTGATTTTGAATATCTAAATTACAGTCTCTGAAATGTCACATTGGTTTCCATTACTAGTGTACAGTCCAGATTCTGTCTTATCAGCAATATAAATTTTTGCAACTTTGTAGGTTCGTTGTAATTGCATTTACTAGGAAAAATTATCAGATAATTGTATCATATCACTCTTAGGAAAACTGCAATCAGGAGCTGAAATATACACTTGAAAATCTGACAGTAATGGTGAATGATCTGTTTGGTGCTGGGACAGAGACAACAGGCTCAACAATGAAATATGCTCTCCTGCTCCTGATGAAGTACCCACATGTCACAGGTGAGAACATGGGTGGTGACTCGCAAAGGTCCTTTAAGGTGATGGGGAAATGCTCCCACTATCCTCTGTGTTGTTTTTCAACACCTCATTATTTAATTTTCTGTTTCACAACTTGTAAACAGGGTGATGGCTGAGAGAAATGAAAGGAACACAATTTTAGGAAAACCCAGTTCTTTGACTAAGTTTCCTTGGATGTCATCCATGGAAGGCGCCACTGGCACATTTTAGCCTATTGTTTCTTTCCTATACTCATCAACATCTGGGTTTACACATAGGCAAATTCTTGAAGTTTCATATCTTCTTTCTAATAAATCGAATTTGGACAAAACTTGCTTTATTGAAACATAAGAAGTAATCCTGTAGAAGGGGAGGTGGGGGGGGCAGCTGTTATGAGTAGTTGTAGGGAAAATTCTCATCAGGATTTATTATGTGAGGAAAAAGCTATTTTCTATGAAAGAAAACATTTTTTAAAGAAAATTTAACTATTTGCTTTATAAAGTACCTTAAGGATTTTAAGATAATATTCACAGGGTTTTATTAGTCAGTTGGTGGCAAAACATGTGAAAACTAATTATCCTTGTAATACTTCTCTATTAGTAACTTTGATATCTAATAAATATGTTAATACAAAACAAACATAACCCTAATATTTTATGTATTTTCATAAGAAGTTTTGCCCTGGAAATCATTCTAAACCATTTAGTTCATTTGAAATTATTTACATTGATGCAGTAGTTGTATTTAGAATTATATATATTTTCATAAAATTTCTGTTAAACAATTTTTAAATATATCTGAAATATTTTATTTTATTTTATTTTATTTTGCAAATAACATCAGTTTAGAAATTTATTCTTAAATCTCACCAGTTGATCACCATATGTGAAACACATCTTATGTCCTATGTTTAATGCACACTGAAATGAAAATAACAAAAATAACAAAATTATGAAAAATAATAGTGTGTTTAAAGTAGGAAAATAGACAACAGTAGTAAACATCTAAGAAACATTCATCAAATTCCAGAAACAAAATGGTATCAGGCAGTGAGTATAAAAAGAAGCCTAGAAAATAATGGTATAACATATATGTCTAAAGATTTGCTATGAAATAAAAAAACAAACTGTGTCACTATATTCCACAAAAGGGTCTTTGTTGGAATCTAAGGAGTTTAAGAGTAAACCCGATGGGAACCAGAGTCTGGTATAACTGTAGTTCTCACATCCTCTGGGTTACACTTTCCATTAATGAAAACACTGAATTATTCTGAAAATAAACTGAGTCCAAGAAGCCAGATTTAGTGGGTGGCGGGGAAAGAGCAATATAGGAGGATGAAGGAGGAGAACTGGAAATGCTGAGTCCCTGGATGATCTCGGGGTTTTTCTCCATCATATTTCATGAATATCAACAACTGGATCTACGTACAGACAATGGTGAAGTGCAAAGATCTCTGTATCTTACCATTTTCCTAGACAATTCCTTCCAAATACCCATCATAAAGAATTAAATAAAATCATCAGTACAAGATGAGGGCTAATGTGGGAAATTACCAATACGGAGTCAGGTAAAAATACAAGGGAATTTAATAGGGAAAATCCGTACTTACAAAGCAACCTAGCCAGCCAGCGCAGCAGCTGTAAGTACAGCAAGCCAAAGATGAAAGTGAAAACGAAAACAGAGCACCATGTAAGCATCCCTCACTCTACATCACTCTGACCCCGCCCTTGCAGGTGTGGTCAGGCACACCTGTAGCCAGTCCCTAAGCAGGCATGGCTACAGCATCCGCTACAATTCCCCTTTTAGTCTAAAAGAGGATTAAAACTTAACAGTGTAGTACCCAAAATTAACAAACATAAAGGTGAAATATAAGAAGATACAACAATCTGCTTTTGTCACATCCTAACTATGTCTATTTTACCTAAACCCTTGCATATCCCTGGGCAATCTACATTCATTATTCCAGTGCCTGCCTTTACCACATCTTCTACACAATCCAGAAAGCAGTGGCCTTCTGTATGAAGCATTGTTAGAATTCCTTTGTCTACAATTTCTCTTGATATATCCCATTATACCACAGATGAAACATCTAGGTTCCTGGGCCTTCATGGTCTCCTGGTGAAGGCTCTTCCTACCCATGGTTCTGGTTCATAGTATAGTAACCTCTAGCCTCTTGGTACCTATGTTGACCTCTGTAAGGTGCTTTTCCTTCCCAAGCCCTTGCATCTCACCTCTAGAACTTTTAATCTCCTGTTGCCTTTTTTAACATTTCCAGATGGCTTCTCCTACCCAACTACAGTATCTTGCACATTATAGTCAATGTTGGCTGCATTCAAAACCCATTCTTCTAGTGGAGCTGATCTGATCTTTAAAGGCTTAAATATTCTTTTGCATATTGGATTTGCATTTTCATATGCTATTATATACATAATTGATTGTCTTGTTTCTGGATCTGTTACCTGTAATTCTACTACCCTAATTAACCTTTGTAAGAAGTCCTGGAACCTGTTCTATTCTGGTATAAGCTTCTAGGGTTTCTCCTGGCTCACGAACCTTATCCCAGGTGTTTGATGCTGCTTTCCTGCATAGGGACAGTATATGGTCATCATATTCAGCCTGAGCCTGTGGGTTAACATAAATACCCTCACCAAGAATCTTACCTAGGGGACTTCATAACCTTCCTTAATGCCTTGATGCTCGAGGAGCTTCACCTCTTCCCTGACCAATGCCTTCCACTGGATTTGGCATGAATTCTCAAGTACAGCTGCTACCAAACATTCTCAATCTATGGGTGTCACCCTGTTAAAGGTTGCCCATGAGTGTAATAGCTGTTTTATGTGTGGTCTATGGAGACCATATGAGACTATTTATTCTTTAATATTCTTAAGATCCTTCAGCTATATAGGTTGCCATACATAAGCCATCTGTCCCTAAGGATGTTTCTTAGAAGATGGCTTTTCTACCATGGTACCTGGGTAGACTAATGGCATACGAGTAACAACCTTAGAAGAATAGTCATGATACCTGGGTGGTGTAGGTACCTCAGATTGGAGTGATTTTGCCTCTGAGGCATCCCAATAATCTTTAAGCCTAGTAATGATATCCTCATGAAAGTTTCAATTTCCTGCATCATAAAATATTCCAAGCATGTTAGTGAATCTGTAAATTGCTCTAACCTATCTAATCTGTCAGCCCTATACTTCCAAATATTCAAATCTAGACTCAAATTTGTGATCTACTACCTTAGATGCTTCAATGATTGATTGAATGGCATTATGCAATTCTTCAACTGTATCCTGGGTATTTTGCACCTTTGCATCTAGTTTCTGGGTAATAGTGCCTATCTGAGATTCTAGCTGGCTACAGAAATTCTTTAGTTCATCACGGTCCTCTGACAGCCTAGCCTCTAATGCCTCAGACATGGAGGATCTCTCTGTGTTTATCTTATCATAATTACGCTACATCTCATATTGGGTAACAGACAGCTCTGTCTTTAGTGTATCAGACACAAAGCCAAGCTTATCATCCAATTTCTGTTCCACTTGCTGCATAAATGTGGTCTGACCTCATTGCATAAAGCTGTTATTTCCTTTAAGTAGGTGGTGAGGTTATCCTTGTCCCTATTCCTGAGACCTCTGGCTAAGAATGTTAATTGTACCAGCAAGCTAACTGCCATTACTGCATATAGGCCAGTAATTGGCAGGTTACCATCCTCCTCAAACATTGAATTCATGTAATAAGCAAAAATATTACCAATTTTAGCAAATGATAAATATTCCACCATGATTTTGCCTAATGGCTCCTACTCCAGATGCAGTAACTTTCTTTGACCAGCAAGTGGTGTAGGCAATCTGTTAGTCCATGTGGAATTTGGCAATGGTTGGTCAGGCAAGTTGGTGGCAGCAATGGAGAGAGGTCACAAAGGCAGCTGCACTTAGCTTAGAGAGTGTACAGCCTTGTGGCCACAACCAAAGAAAAAGAAGTGGTTTTCTGCCTGCCGCTGTAAGGGGAAGCCACAGACCCTGCTGAAAACCAGCCTACTTGGCTAAGAGCAGGAGGCCTCCAGGCACGGGTATGCCGCAGTCTGAGCCGGTCCTGTGCACGCAGCTAGAAACTGTGACAGTAACCATAGGGAGGTCTGTGGAAGTCTCCCAGCTGGGCGGAGGATTCTGAGCGGCTCAGCGGCAATGGGACACACTTGTGGCGCAACGGGTCAGCTGAGAGCCGGGAGCACCTTTGGAGAGATGATGCTTTCCCAGCCTAGACCGCAGTCCCGCTGGGACCTGCAGACTGCCAAATGAGGCCTAGGTTTACAAGATCCTGCTTCTAACAACAAGATAATGTGGGAAATTACCAATACAGAGTCAGGAAAAATACAAGGGAAATTAATAGGGAAAAGCCTTACTTACAGAGCGACATAGCCAGCTGGCACAATAGCAGTAAGTACAGCAAGCCAAAGATGAAAGTGAAAGCAAAGAAAGAACTCCACATAAGTGACTCTCACTCTACATCACCCTGACCATGTCTTCGCAGGCATGGTCAGTCACACCTGTAGCCAGCCACTAAGCAGACATCGCTAGAACATCCCCTACACAGGGCAAGGCAAAGAGTCATGAAATATAAAAACACCAGGTCTATTATAAGAAAAACTCTTGAGAGTGATCTGTGATTCACACTGAGAAAAGAGAAGTGTATAGTGTCTTAAATATCGATCATATGTGGGGATACACCTCCACACACACCATAAATCTACAGTCTACACTTGCTTTCTTCATGAAATGCAGGAGGGTATTTTTCATCATATTGTCTAAAGCAACATCACAGGAAGTGATGGACTTTAGAAATCTACACACCCCATGATAGATGGTGAGTTGTTTCTGGGAACCAGATTTAGAAAGCCCACCCTATGAATGCTACAGGCATGAACAGCAAATGAGGGACAAAAGAGTAACTCAGCTCTTTTATTCCTGGAGTAGAAGCATCACATTAACAATTATAAATAACGCTAACTCACAAAGGGTAAATTACAATCTAAAAATAAAGGGCATGCATCAGTCACAAAGTATAACAATAATGAAAACTAATTTTGTAATACAGAATATATATGTAAATACAATTATTCCAACAATAAATATTGGTTTAACTAACTATTGTAACTCAAGATCAACAGTTAGGTAAATGACAATTTATGTGTGTACAGTTGTTTGTGTGGTACTTGTGTGTATAAGTGTCTATTTCATTATTTATAGCTAGCATTTATATACAGGATGTATTATGAATTATATTTTCATTTCTGATAACAAACTCAATAGATATTGTATATATTTGAATATATTAGGAGCAATTATTTAAAATATGAATACAACTAGGCATTGGTGGCACATACATTTATTCCCAGCACTAGGAAGACAGAGGCAGGCAGATCTCTGAGTTCGAGGCCAGCCTGGTCTACAGAGTGGGTGCCAGGATAGGCTCCAAAACTATACAGAGAAACCCTGTCTCAAAACACCAAAAAACTAAAAAATAAAAAGTAAAATAAAATGTTAATATATTACACAAGCAGTTGTTGGTGTCCAATCCTACCACTGTTAGATAATGGAAATGTAGCTGGATTATAATTTAATATTGCACACACACACACATATTTAATAATCATTTATGTCTTTTATTAATAACAATAACATCTGGTTAATTGTACTATGTTTTGTTAGTTGAAATGTTTAATTAGTTCACATTTCATTTGATAGTATGGATGTAAATAATTAACACATGATAATGAATCATAGTATCTATTCCATATAAAAGAGTTAAATTTGTGTAATAAAAATTATGTTTATTCAAGTTTATATCTGAGCAAGAAATGTACATTTATAACTCTGCATAGACACATTCTTCATGTCCTGTGTAGTATTACTTTATTGTGACAAACATCACTTTATCCTGAACCCGTGTAAATGCCTGTTGTGGTGGTGTGTGCCTGTAATCTTGGCGATAGAGTGATGGAGACTGTAGAACTAAGGATGCACCAGGCAGAGGGTCTCCCCTAAATGGTCAGCTGCAGACTGACCCAGGTGCCCTGTGAGGAGACAAAGAGAATGAAAATCTGAAATTTTCATTCCTCCGCCACAGGCAGTGTGCTCCTGTACACATGCCTCTGCATATTTGTCCACATACACACATGTGAACACACTTGTACATACTTTTACATACAGAATAGTAGCTATGTAGAATGAGAGCAGTGTGAATTCCTATCTCTGCATTCTATATACTTAAATGTATTCACCAGGGGTTTGTTCAACATTTATACTCTTAATGCTGGGCACATTGGTTGTGCACTGTATGGCCCGACTTAATAGAGACAAAGGAGGAATTTTCCTCCTATTCCATCATTTCTCACTGTTTATAACCAGCTAAAGTCCAGGAAGAGATTGATCGTGTGGTTGGCAGAGAACGAAGCCCCTGCATGCAGGACAGGAACCACATGCCCTACACGAATGCCACGATTCATGAGGTCCAGAGGTTCATTGATCTTGTCCCTAACAGTGTACCACATGCTGTGACCTGTGACGTTAAATTCAGGAATTATCTCATCCCCAAGGTAAGTATGTTTCTTCTTTATTGCACCTCTGCTCTCTTGTTGCTCCCAGTTACAGTATGGCTCCAGTCTGCAGAGTCACACTGTGCTGCCTTATGCTGCTCCATGATATTGAGAGCTGCTTTATAATATGCAGGGACACAGGAATGAAGCTTCCACATTTGTTCTAACTTCCAAATTTTGCTTTGACAGAGCTGGGGCATATAGAATTCCATGTGTGTTTTCCAACTTATTGATAATAAACACTTTTGAAATTTTTGTTGAGAGAAAAATTTCCAAGTAATTGGGAAGAGTTTATATCCTGAATTCTTTAGCTCATCAAAAATCTGTACCATTTGTTAATTTATGCTTTCTTCATTTTTCCCACAAGTGTTGCTTTTCAATGATGTGGCTTGTAAATATTTTCTTAGAAATTTATTGAATAATGAATATTATCTGATAATCATTTTTAAGAAATTCCACATTCCTTTGACCTGTTTTATATAAACAATTGTTTCAATCATGGTGAAACAATTGATTCAATCATGGTTATTTTATTGTTCATAATCTTATGTATTCTAGTTACAGATAATGGTTCATCTGTAAATGTATGTGATGGGATTTCAAGACATTTCCTGGTTAACAATTTTATCCAGATTTTTATATTCTTCTCCTTTATTTCAGTTTTTTATCATTGAACTGACTCATGAACTCCAGATAGCATTAAACAGAATCATTTTTTAAAATTTTATGCACACTAAAAGTGAAAGTTTGCAAAAGATAATCAGGACACTAGGATCGTGAGAGCAAGCAGAAACTAGAAGAATGCAGAAACTGAAATCAATGATTTAGGATTCACAAAACATTCCCAGAGAACAGATGAAGTTAAAATAAAATAGGAGAGATGACAGAATTAATAGGTCCAAATAATCTAATGTGCATACTTATTTTATTTCTTATTAGTATAACTTCAATTATTCCCTGTCAAGTCTGATGTACTCAGAAAATATGAAAAATGTATTAATTAGATTAAGTTGCGCCAAAAGACTTTCTTGAGATATGATTTGTCATTCTTGTTGTTGAGGTCTATGAATAGTATAACAACACTTTATTTAGGTTCTTATAACTAAATGGCAAGATACAATGAAGAGTGAGACAGGAGTGACCTATGTCCCGGATTCCCTTGCTGTGATTACAGTCTTGCTTAAGGCAAGTACTGCAACTGCTTAAAATTCATTATTCTGTATCTCTTGTTTGGTGGCTCATGATTTGACTGTTCACGTTGGAACTTGAAAAATAGAATAGTAATCCTTCCCTTGCTGGAACTGCCAGGCACAGAAATAATCTTGTCTCTATGACTGACTTTACTCTCTTATAAATCTGGTTAGAACTTCTTTACCAGATGGGACCTCTGATTTCAGTACAGATAATGGGCTAAGATAAGAGTCAGTATATATTTAATTTTGACTTGGTGGACAAATACTGCAGAGTTTATAGTCCATGAAGATTGTGTCACCAATTCTGAATTCTGCCATTGTAGTAAGAAGCAGCCAGAGGCAATTTGTATACAACTGAGGACGGCCATTTTCAAAATTATTGAGACTGGCATTTGATTTTTAAATACTCTCAAATGCCCTCCCTGCTCTGCACCTAATTATGGCAGGCCAGAGAGCTTTCCCTGGGGTCACATGACTAAGGGAGCTTGTTTGCATACTTTTATGACTCATTTCCTGTTTACTGACATATAATACTGCACTTCATTTGCAACCATAGTTCATGTGACCTGTGAAAACCATGTGTTGAACTAGAGCAGCAGGTGGTGAGACACATATGTACAAACCTGAGGAAAGGGAGAACAGACTTGGAAGCATTAGCACCAAACATCCAAGTACTGACTTCAAATATCATTGAAGATATGTTAGCTACATCACTGTGAATAGTTCTCAGACCCCTCCCTGCTCCTTACATGCTGTGCTTTGAAATGTTCCTGCTCTTATTTTCACTTAATCTTCTCTATGGATTGGAAGGTGAAGTAGGCTAAATCCTTTATTCATTTAGATTCATGGTTTCTTTGTACCTTTCTCTGTGTTTCTTGTTTGCAGGGAACAACAGTAATAGCATCACTGTCATCTGTATTGCACGACAGCAAGGAATTTCCCAACCCAGAGACATTTGACCCTGGTCACTTCCTAGATGGGAATGGAAACTTTAAGAAAAGTGACTACTTCATGCCTTTCTCAACAGGTAATAGAAATTCATTTCCATTGCTCCAGTTACATGAGAATCTGTGTGAACATAAACAGTGACTCCCATGGGGATAATACTTGAATTATCAGGAACATAACTTCCTTAATGGTGAGACTGCCATGATAAGATCAAATTTTGAACTCTGAGGTGAAGGATTGTATGGAGATATCCCACTTAGAGCTTAGTGTTTCTAGGTCTCTGTCTCTCTCTCTCTCTCTCTCTCTCTCTCTCTCTCTCTCTCTGTGTGTGTGTGTGTGTGTGTGTGTGTGTATCTCTGCATAATGTTTAGATATGGGTCTCTGTGTTCTTTCTCTCTGCTGATAGAGGAAGTTTTTCTGAAGATTGCTGCATAAGGAACTGATCTATGAATATAGTAGAATATCATTAGGAGTCATTTTATCACTACTTTTTTATTTTTTAAGACCAGTAGCATTTTGTTTTACCATAGATCTCTGAGCTATCTTGTTCCTGGTTCTTAATCACATAAATAGTGTCAGATACAGGTTCCTTCTTGTGGAGTGGGTCTTAAGTCAAATCAGATATTGGTTAGTTACTCCAGTAAGATTTGTGTTGCCGTTGCCCTAGCATATATTTCAAGGAGGACAGCATTGTAAGTCAAAAGTTATGTTGCTAAGTTGGTGTATACATTTAGCCACTACTAGCCTGCAGAGTAAATCAAGACAGTAGAACAGAGAGGTGAAGGTTACATATAGGTATCAACCAATCTGTGTTCAAGGAGTTGTGTGGGTGTTGTCTTCATCAGTGGGGACTTGCTGTTAGTTTGTGGAGTGCAACCTATTGTCTTGACAACAGCCTGGATTGTTTGGAGATTTTCATCAGAATACTTTGGCCAACAACTTAATTTGATGTAACACAGTCCTGGTACTAGAAAATTCACCTTCATGTATTTTAGGAAATTTCCACTGACTACATTTCTATATTACCCCTAAAAATGCTCCTCAATTCTAGCAATCCTTCCACTTTTCCATCTGATCCTTCTCTTTGAGTCCCATGTTCCAGTACACCTATAAATATCTACTATGTTTTCTCTCCCAGGAAGATCAATGAGTGCCCCACTAGTATTTTTCTCTACACCTAATCTCTCTGGGTGTATGTATTGTACCTTGGTTATCATTTATTTAATGGATAATGTATACTTAGAGTGAACATAGCTCATATTAATCTTTCTGGGTTATCATACTTGGAATTATTTTTTTCTACTTCCATCCATTTCTTTGCAAATTTCTTGATGTCATTTTGTTGTTAGCATCTGAGTAATACTCCACTGTGCAAATGTAGCACTTTTTCCTTATAAATTCTCATGTCAAGGGACATGTGGGGTTTTTTATTCTTGGCTATTGTGAATAGAGAAGCAATGAACATATTTGATTAAGTATCTTTGTGGTAAGATGTAGAGCATTTGGATATTTGTTCAGGAGTGGTGCCTTAGGATTATTTTTGCTGTACTGAAACACCATGTCCAAAAGGAAGTTGTGATAAAAGGGGGGATTATTTTGCTCATATTTCCCCATTATAGGCCACGGAGGGGCCTATATACTGAATAGCTTCCTCTACCATGCTCAGCGTGCTTTAGTGCAGAAGTCAGGGCCTCCACCTCATAGGTAACTCCAAACAAATTGGTCTTAGCCGTCTGCTATCAACTACTAATTAAGAATATCCCACAAACTTGCCTGTAGACAGATATTGTGGAAGCATTGTCTTAATCAAGTTTCCCTCTTCTCATATGATTTTAGCATATGTCAAGTTGGCATAAAACTATTCATCACAAGTAGTATATATAGCTAGATCTTGAATAAAATCAATTCTTGTCTTTCTGAGGAACTGCCACACTGGTTTCCATAGTGTGTAATTGGCTTTTTTTTTCTTTTACTCTTAGGGGATCTGTCACTTAGCTGCCAAATAATCACACAGAGACTTATTCTTACTTATGAATGCCTGGCCTTAGCTCGGCTTATTTCTAACCAGATTTTCTACTTTAAATTATCCAATTTCTCTTTAATTACATTTTGCCTCTGGGACTTTTACCTTTCTTTATTCTATATAGCTGTCTTTCTTTCCTACTGTGTGTGGCTTGCCCTGGGTTCCCTCCTCTCCCCCTTTCTCACCCCTCTGTCTTGCTTCTTCTTCACCAGCCTCAATTTCTCCCATTTATCCTCCTTTATCTATCTATCTTATCCTTCTAAATCCAAAGTTTTAAATCTAATTTACTGTCTATAATATCTAACGAAAACTATAACTCTATTTAGTCTTTAAGTCCATCAAAGACTCCAGAAAGAGGTAATATTACCTAACAACATAGACATCTGGCTACAAAGAGAATCCCCAATAATCTCCTGCAATTTGGGGACATCCATATTCAGACTGCAGGCCTAAAATATCTGCCAGACTCTTCTTGAAGCAGGAATTTTGAAGGACTCTCCTGCATTATCTTTGCAAAATTTGGCAGTTGCTATCCTGTGTGTCCTGCATGCCTAGTTTGTACAGCATGCAGTCATCAGTCAAGGCAAAAGCAGTGTCTTGACCAAATGGCTAACCTTGCCATGATGAAAACAAACTCCATATGGAGTTTCATTCGTGCCCATCATTCTTTTATGAAGTAAATTCATGCTGCCAGGGGCATATGTTTCTTATTGTCATGAAAAAGCATAGGTTATTAAATGCCTAATTCTGTACATATCTTTGAGGTGTTTGAAAAATCACCTATTTGTATAAAATGTCTGTTTACCTTGAAAGCATACCTAATTTGATTAAAAGTTTGAATGTTGTAGACTAACTACTAACCTCGTTTCTTAATTATACATTGCACTTTTAAATAAGTTACCTAAGCCAAATACCCCAAATGAAAGTATGCCATATATTTTTACATTTGTGTCAAGACACCAAACTCCATGCCAATGCAAAATATCTGAGAGTAATAGTTGTCTATCTATCTTATATTCTTTTATTCCCCTAAATGATAACAAATATCCACATAAAATAACAAAATACAACCCACAACCCAACTCTTGGAAGTATGGGTGTCATTTTTCTCTAGACTGCTTCCTGTTGTCTATCTGAGAAGGCATCTTTAGTGGTTCCCAAGAAAACTGAGATCATAGACATCTCCTGGGAAGACAAGCTGTAACCTTTGTTGATATATATCAGCTGTCAGGATTCAGGAGGTTTTCCCTGATCAAACCTGATCCATATTAATCCTAAAGGAGTCAACAGTCTCTCATTTACCATGGAAACAAAAGCAAAACCTCTGCTCCAAAGCAGTGAAGTTTTTTAGTTAACAATTGTAAGTTAAGGCATTCTTACAATATATAGGCTGATTTATTTTAACAGTCTGGTTTACCTCCCATGTCTGTCAACAATCTGTTGTTTGCTTATCAGCAATCAAAAAATTTCAAGGAAGTCTTTAATTTCTTTATTTCTTCCTTTACACAGGGGTGATTCAGTTGAGCATTGTTCAATTTCCATGAGTTTGGGAGCTTTCTGCAATTAGTTGAATTCTAACTTTAACCCATGGTGATCCAATAAGATACCAGGAGTTATTCCAATTTTTTGTATCTGTTGAGGTTTGCTTTGTTACCGAGTATGCAGTGGATTTTAGAGAAGGTTCCATGCAGTGCTGAGATGATATATTCTTTTGTATTTGGGTAGAATGTAATATACAAGTTCATTAATCCCATTTGAGTCATAACTTCTGTTAGGTCCTTTATTTCTCTGTTAAGTTTCTGTCTGGCAGTCCTGTCCAGTGATGAAAGTGGGGTGTTGAAGTCTCCCACTCTTAGTGTGTGGAGTTTAATGTGTGATTTGAGCTTTAGTAATGCTTCTTTTATAAATGTTCATGCCCTTGTATTTGGAGCATAGATGTTCAGAATTGAGATTTCATCTTGATGGTTTTTTCCTGTGATCAATATGAAATGAGTTTATCTTTAGTTTGAAGTCTCTTTGCTAGATATTAGGATAGCTACAGCAGCTTGTTTCTTCAGCCCATTTTATTGGAAAATCTTTTCCCATCCCTTTCCTCTGAAGTAATGCTTGTCTTTGAAGTTGAGGTGTGTTTCTTGTATGCAGCAGAAGCATTGATCCTTTTTTCATATCCATTCTCTTAGGCTGTGTCTTTTTATAGTTGAATTGAGACCATTGATATGAAGAAACATTAATGACCAGTGATTATTTGTTCCTGTTATTTTTTGTTTTGGTGGTGGTGGTGGTAGTATTATGTGTGTGTTTCCCATCTTTGTGCTTTGCTAGTGCATGATAATCTATTGCTTGTATTTTTATGGGTGTAGCTAACTTACTTGGGCTGGAATTTTTCTTCTAGTGCTTTTTGTAGTGCTGGATGTGGATAGGTAGTGTTTAAATATGGTTTTGCCATGGAATATCTTGTTTTCTCTGTGTATAGTGCTTGAAAGATTTGCTGGGTGTAGTAGTATAGGCTGGTCTCTGTGGTATTTTACTGTCTGCAGAACATCTGTCTAGGGCTGCCTCACTTTTGGAGTTTCCATTGTGAAGTCAGGTGTAATTCTGAGAGGTCTGACTTTATATGTTATTTGGCCTTTTTCTTTTGCAGCTCTAATATTCTTTCTTTATTCTGTATGTTAAGTATTTTGATTATTATGTGGAGAGGACACTAATTGTTCAATCCATTTGGTGTTCTGTAAGCTTCTAATATTTCATAGGCATGTCCTTCTTTAGGTTGTGAAAGTTTTCTTCTATGATTTTCTTGAATATGTTTTCTGTGCCTTTGAGATGGACTTCTTCACCTTCTTCTATCCCTATTATTCTTAGGTTTGGTTTTTCATGGTCTTCCAGATTTCATGGATGTTTTGTGTTAAGAATTTGTTGGATTTAATATTTATTTTCCCCGATGAATCTATTTTCTTTTTCGTATCTTCAATGCCCATTGTATTCTGTTAGTTATTCTTGCTTCTATAGTTTCTGATCATTTACCCTGATTTTACATTTCCTGCATTTCTTCAGTTTGTGGGTTTTTTTATTTCCTCTATTTCAGTTTTTGAGTCTTAGACTCTTTCCTTCACATGTTTGTTTTTTTTTTTCTTGACTTTCTTTAAGGAATTTGTTTATTTCTTTCAATTTTTTGTTAGTCTTTTCCTCCACTTCTATAAGGGAATTTTTCATTTACTCTTTAAGGGCCTCTATCAACTTCATGAAGTTATTTTTAAGGTTGTTTTCTTCTGCTTAATCTGCACTGTGATGTTCAGGTCTTGCTGTTGTATAAACACTAGCTTCTGGTGGTGTTGTATGACTCTTTATGTTGTTCAATGTATTCTTACACTGTAGTCTATTCATCTCTTCCTCTAAACTGGTCAGGTGTGGCCTGGGGCTCTGGTGCCTGCACCTCCAGGTACTGGCAGGGTCTTGGCTCTGGGGGTTTCTGATGTGGTGGGGGATAGTTGGGTTGGGGCTTGGGATGAGACACTGGTGGCTAGGGCCTAGATAGTAGGGCCTTCTGGGAGCCAGAAACTTAACTCCTCCACGTGCATGCAGGCTCTCAGGTCTGGTAGTCAGTTGTAACATGTATGATATAAACACAGAGACATATATCAGTGTTCAAGCTGAAGATCAGAAAAGCAATACAGTCAAGCTACCAGAGAGCTGTTATCTCTCCCAAGACTGTGGTGATCCTGTCCTCAACCTGGCTGGAGTCTAATTGACTCAAGACTGAATGCCAGCTCTGAGAACCTTCCCCTGTCTTATATACCTCTCTAGTCCTGGTATTAAAGGCTTGTAGCACCACTTCCCAGCTTCCATGGCTAACTAGTGTGACTGCTTCGATTAAAGGTGTGTACCACAACTGTCTGACCTCTATGGCTGTAGCTAGCATTGCATTCTAATCTCCAGGCAAGCTTTATCACCTCAGTCACTGATAGGTGCGGGGGAGGGGTTGGGGATTTGGAGAGGTTGCTCACAGGTAGTGTGTGAGGGGGATTGTTTTAATTACTTATTTGTTCTTAATTTAACTTTGGTAAGTGGTTCCTATCAAAAATGTTCCATTTCATTTAGTTTTTTCAGTTTGATAGACTACATATTTTTTAACTATATCCTTGTAATTCTCTGGATTTCCTCAGCATCTTTCATTATGTCATCCTTTTCGTTTCTAATTTTGTCAATTTGGATATTCTTTCTCTGTCTTTTAGTTTATTTGGATAAAGATTTGTCAATCTTATTGGTTTTCTCAAAGAACTAGTTACTTTTTTCATGGAATTTTTGTATTTTTGTTTCTGTTTATAGATTTCAACCCTGACTTTTAATCTTTTTGCCATCTACTCCTTTTGGGTTGAATTCTTTTTGTGTTATACACCTTTCAGGTGTGCTGTTAGCTCCCTAGTATGAGATCACTCTAATTTATTTATTTATTTATTTATTTACTTATTCTTTTTTGAGACAAGATTTCTCTCTATTGCTCTGGAGGTTGTCCTGGAACTCACTTTGTAGACCATACTGACCTTGAACTCACAGAAATCCAAGTGCCTCTGCCTCCCCAGTTCTGGGATTAAAGGTGTTTGCCACCAATGCCCAGGCTCACTCTTGATTTATTTATGCACATGCTGTGGACCTGACTCTTAGAAGCCCTTAAGTTTGGATCTGATGTGGATTCATTTTTGTTGAAATCTAGGAAGTCTTTAAATTCTTTATTTTGGTCTTGATTTATTTTTCATTCAGTAGGGAGTTGTTTAGTTTCCATTAATTTGTAAATTTTCTGTTGCTTCTGTTGTTGTTAATATCTAGCTTTAAACTGTTTTGGTTTGATAGGACACAGGGATGATTTCAATTTTCTTACATTTGTTGAGATTTGCTTTGTGTTAGAATATGTGGTTAATTTTTGAGACAGTACAATGGGTGCAAGAAGTTTTGGTGTGTTTGGGTGAAACATTCTGTATATATCAGTTAAGACAATTGTTTTTATATCATCTAAATGTGGAGTATTGACCTCTCCTACTATCAGTTTGTGAGGGTCAATATGTGACTTAAGCTGTGGTGGTGTTTCATTTACAAACTTTGGTGACCTTATGTTTGAAGCATACACACTAAGAATTAAAGTGCCATCTTTGTGGATTTTTCCTTAAATGAATTTGTAGTGTCCTTCCCAATATCTACTGGTTAGTTTTGGTTTGAATCTATTTTATTAGCTATCAAATGGCTACACCAGCTTGATTCTCATGTCACTTTGTTTGGAATAACTTTTCTAACCTTTTATCCTGAGGAATGTCTATTCTTGATATTCAGGTGAATTTCTTAGATGCAGCAAAAGTAGGGATCCTTTTTTCACATCCATTCTGTTAGTCTGTGTTTTATAAGAGAATTGAGACCACTGATATTGAAAGATGGTAATGGCTAATGATTGCTGATTACTGTTATGTTATTGCTGGTGTCCACTGTGGTGTGTGTGTGTGTGTGTGTGTGTGTGTGTGTGTGTGTGTTTACTTTTCTTCTTTTGACTTACTGATTCTGATTTTATTTTTTCCCTTTGTTGTCATAGTTGTAGTTAGCCTATTGTGGTTGGAATTTTCCTTCTAGAACCTTCTCTAGGTTTGGGTTTATAGAAAAATATTGCTTAAATTTGACTATCATGGATCATTTTATTTTATCCAGCTATGGTGATTGAAAGTTTTGCTGGATATGGTTGTCTCTGTTGGCATCTGTGATCAGCACATTTGTCCTGACTCTTGTGACTTTTGAACAGGCAGGTGTAACTCTAATAGGTCTGCCTTTGTATGTTACTTGTTTTTTTCCTCCTTGTAACTTTTAATGTTCTTTGTTCTGTACTTACAGTGTTTTGATTATCATGTGCTGAGGACTTTTTTGTGGTCCACTCTATTTTGTTTTCTGTGTGTTTCTTGTACCTTCACAAGAATTTACAAAATTTCCTCTTTAGATTAGAGAAATTTTCTCCTATGATTTTGTTGAAAATATTTTCTACACCTTGAGATTAAATTCTTTTCTTTCTGTTTCTATTGTTAGGGTTTTGGTTTTTTAATAGTGTCACAGATTTCCTGGATGTTGTGTCTCAGGAGACTTTTATATTTAAACTTTTCTTTGACTGATATAACCAATTTTTTTATTGTAACTACAATGCATGAGTTTCCTTCTTCCATTTCTTGTATTCTGATGGTGAAGATTTCCTCTATAGTTCCTACTTGAATTCCTAAAGTTTTCATTTCCAGAATTTCCTCAGTTCAAATTTTCTTTATTGATTCTATTTCCATTTTTAGAACCTGAATAGTTTCTTTTCTTCTTCTGATATTTGTGTTTTCTTGAATGTCTTTAAAGTATTTATTCTTTTTCTCCCACTGTTTGTTTGTGTTTGCCTATATCTCACTAAGGGATTTATTCATTTCCCTTTAAGGACCTCTGTTGTTACATGCAAACAGGCTGTTTTAAGATCTTTTTCTAAGGCTTCATCTATGTTGAAATATGCATGTCTGTTGTGGTAGGCATCTGAATCTGTTGACATGGATGGCCATACACTAAGTATTTGATAACAAATTCATAATCCTCATCCTTCAGTCTCACAGATGTTCTGATGACAGATGTGGGCAATCAAGCTGATGAGGATTTTTGTTTGATTCATTTCTTAAGTCTTATGTTACTTAAATGTTACCCACTATTGTCTGTTTGCTTAACTGATTATCCTCTCACTCATCCACACAATTAACTACCCATCCAGTAACTCAGCAGTTCCTCTTAGCTCAGTTGTTTGGTTTACAAACACAAGGCATCTCACCCTCACTTATGTACAAGTCATGGTCACCTCCTTTGTCTCTTTTCCCCACAGGAAAACGTGTTTGTGCAGGAGAGGGCCTGGCTAAAATGGAGCTTTTTCTATTCCTGACTACCATTTTACAGAAGTTCAAGCTGAAATCTCTAGTTCCCCCAAAGGATGTCAATATTACCTCAGTGGTCAATGGTATATCTTTAGTGCCTCCACATTACCAGATCTGCTTCATTCCTGTCTGAAGAATATCAGATGCCTGGCTCACGTTGTATTCCTTTCTGAAATCACCCCAAAGCCTACATTTACCATTTTTCCAGCCTATACACTGTGTCCTTCCCCCTTCTCATGGCTTGTGTTTTCTCATTGCCCAGTGATGTCAGTTGGCAGTCTCTTAAGTCACTGCACAAAATATCTGCTATTCTATGTTCTCTATAACACTCTTAATATTCCTTGTACTCACAGGAATCTAAACCTAAGCTGTTAACATGGCTTCACGGTAAAACAGATAAAATTCTACCAGGTAAAACAAATAAACAATAATTCACAGTCATGTGTGTTTTTTGCATGCCTTGATAAAATTTTCAGTTTGTATTCCTGTTCTAATCAGATTATCCTTCAGTTCACATAAGGGATATTCTGGGGTCCAGCCTCAGCCTATTTTCAGGTCCTGAAATGGGGAAGGAGCATCATCACAAGGAAAAAATTTGACGACCAGGTGGATTGCACACAAGTGGCCCCAAAGAGCTTGGACCATCTTTATTTTTACTTACAGTTACTTACCAGGGTTACATGAACAGCTTTAGTAATGGTTCCTATAGTTGGCTTTAAGACACATAATATGTTTTAAGAAATACATCATGATCCTTATGAAAGCATCTATTGTTCCTTTTTATGTCGGCAAATACACATTTCCACTCCCAACATAACATTATTCTACACTCAGAGCTCAGAATATTAGCAGGTTTAACTAAATACCAGATCAGACATCTGCTGCTATCACAGCACTTATGTAAGCTGCCCTCTACTTGTGGCTACAAAGTAAAAAGGTAATAGACATGGGTATCATGCTTTAAGGACAACAATATGCTAGCCTAGACAATCCATTGATGCCCGAAAGATATGCTTTTATGTAGTTGATTGCTTTTTACTCTTTGGGGCGAGGGGTGGCACCACCCAGCTCCCAATTACATGCACACACTGAGCCTTATTCTTACTTATGAATGACTAGCCTTAGCTTGGCTTATTTCTATCCAGCTTTTCTTAAATGATTCCATCTACCTTTTGCCTCTGGGCTTTTTCCTTTTCTTACTTCTGTAAGCTTACTACTTTCACTTTTACTCCATGGTTAGCTGTGTGGCTGTGTGGCTGGCACCTTCTTTGTTTGCTCCTTAATCTCTCTTGATTCCTGAGCCCTCCTGTTCTCCTTCTATTTATTTTCTCTGCCTGCCGTCCCCTCCTATCCTTCCTGATGCCTTCTTATTGGCCTTTCAGCTCTTTATTATACCAATCAGGTGTTTTAGACAGGAAAAATAACACAGTTTCACAGAGATAAAGAAATACATCATAAAAGAATACAACACATCCTTGCATCACTAAACAAATATTCCACAACATAAAAAGTTACTCATCTTAAAATAATATTCTACAATGCCTTTATACAGTCCCCTTTTTATAAAAGGGTGTCATGTCTCAATGTCTCTGTGAAAGACAGACTTTGATAAAGCACTGTTTTCCCATCTCTTCTTCTACCACTACAAGTTCCTCTGAAAAAATAGATCTTTTCCTCCCATAATTTGCATGCATTTTCATTGGATCATACTAGATCTTATCATTGATTCTATATGCTTGATGTCCAGGGAACTTACTGTCAACAGTTGGCACTACGTGTATTCCTAGGCTTTTCCCTTTTCTGTGTATATATGCCTTACCCGTCTTTCCAGAACTGTGAGACATGGTTAATGATCCAAGTGTTATTTTCTCATTTGTACCTAACTGTCTCTATTGAGCCAGACAAGTTGCCAGAAATGGAAGTTGTAGTTAGTGATTCCAGATAAGAGGTTTGAGAAGCATTAGCTCCCTGCTAAATCTTAGAGAGAAATATTTGAGAAGGACCAGAATTTCCAGTGAAAATTTATAGCTTTTGCGTGTGTGACTGACAAAATAAAACGATCCCCCCAAGAGTTAAGAATATAATAAAAGAAAAGAGCCTTCAAGCTGCACAAATTTTGCAAATTGCTACATAGCCCCATGGACTGCTGGCCCATTCCAAGTGAAAGTCTATTTCCACAGGTGCCTTGATCTAAGGAAACCTGTTGGCCAGGTAGTCATGTGCTACTCTGAGACTAGGATGCATAGCTCTAGACAGTGATGAAAGAAAACAGATTTTCTTCCCAAAGATTCCTACTGGTTCTCATATCAGGAAGCATAGAGAATATTAAGGGAAAGAGGCTGCAAAGGTGGCTCAGTCAACAATGTTCTTGCCAGGAAGGCCTAAGGACACAAGTCTACATTCAACACCTATCTTAGAGGTCAGAAATGATGATGAGTACTTCTTACAAGAGACTTGGAAGCAGAACCAGAGTCATGCCAGGTTATAGCCAGCCCAGTGGGATATCTTATCCAGGAACCAATGTAGGAAGTTCCTAAGGAACACCACCAAAAACTGAGGGCTTGACTCCATACGCTCTTGCATATGCACACCAACACAGAAACAGACAATCATAGACAAATGAAAACATACATATCCTGTGCATTCAAGTGTAATACAGAGAGAGAGAGAGAGAGAGAGAGAGAGAGAGAGAGAAAGAGAGAGAGAGAGAGGAGTTCTATGCTCTTCCACTGTACATAAAAAAAGACTGAGGAGGATAATAAGAGAGTAAGAGAAAGCTCTTGGCAGGGCATCATCAAGAGTTAGTGGAAGCATCTACACATAAAACAGATAAACAGTGTCAAGCACCCACATCTGATAGAGAAACAAGTGTGGAATACACAGGAATACACAGAATGGAGGTCATTCCTGCTTTCCTCATACCAAGAAAAAATATAAATATATTAAATATACTTTTGACTTGTTCTTTCCGGTTTAAACCTGAGCATGCCTTTTGCTTTCCTACTGCTTACTTTATCTCCAAGTGTCTCTCTTCTCTCCAGCAAAAAAAAAAAAAAAACAGTCATGGTGGAGACTCACCTTCCTAATGGTTTTACTTGATATATTCCCTTCTCATCACATTGGAAGTTATTAAATGAGAAGATAAGTAAGTCATGTGCCCTTGCTGTGAATGCCAAAGGAAGTCACTTTGCCTATTCCCAGTTGACAACTATAGTAGTGGCAAATGCAGACATGTGTCTGTACACACATCAGTATCAGTGCACAGGCATATATTCACACAGGCTATGCAGTCTTTGAACAGATGAAAGTGGTATTAAATATGGTTCTGGTTAAGTCTCAAACAATGGGACAAATGACGAGGTGTGTTTTTAAAGTATCACAGCAGATCTGCCAGCCAGGGTCTCCCAGCATCCCTCAGTCCCAAACTGTAACAGGGCAGAGCTGCCATACCCATTGCCAATTTGAACTCTCTAGCCCAGCAGCAGAGCTGCCGTCTCCCGGGGGTTCTTCCATATGTAATCCAGCCACTTTAATTACCTGCCCCTTTTGTATCATTGCCATCTTAACTGCTGCACCCCGTTCTCCCCTATCTTCTCTTCACTCCCCTCCCCTCTGCTGACATGGCCCAGCTCAGATGGGGCCATGTCCAATCTGGATTCTCCAAGATGTCCCTCCCTCTGGCTATGCTCTCCAATGCATCCATAAGAAGCTTCTCCACCTTACCTAGGAGCACTCATCTCCTTCCTTTTTATTTCCTTTTTCAATCATCTGGAGCTGAAATCCTGAGAGTAGCACAAATGAGTTTCTTCCTAATGAACTTGGCAATTCCAAACCAAGCTTCTAACCTGACTCTCCTAAGGTATGTATGAATACTTTGCCTCTGCAGGGTTTTGCCACACACAAAACTTGATTCTAAAGTTTGCCTCTCCAGTCCCTTCTTTCCTCCACCTAACCTAATGATCCATAGCTTCTTGATCTCTAAGCAAGTGTCCTCATTCTGGCTCCTGGAACCTACTATTCCCTTTGTGGTACCTACCATGTAGGTACCGACTTTTTGGAGCAACCACTATGTGGGCATCTTACAGATATGCCCTTCAGGGTCCTACCATGTGAGAGTCTACTCAATAAGACACTTGTACCTCTCCAACTGTTTTCTCCTGTACTTGTTCTAATCACTATCTCTCCCCTTCTACTAGGTAAGTGACATTGGAGAGATCTTTGTGTGTCTACATTTGCTGATAAAGCCTCACAAGAATGTCACAAAGCTTCCTCTTAACCTACCATGCTTCCGTCATGTGCAAAGGAGTGCTGCTCCTCTGTGATTTGGCACATTTCTCCATGGCAAGTCTCTCAGTCTGCTTAGGGTTGAAATTTTTGTTACCATGACACCCATCATTCTGTTTCCTCATGGCTCTACTCAGCTTCTTCCTGGAAATTTCTCGCCACCCCCTTGCAGGTGTCTAGCAACTTTCACAGCTTCTCTACATTCTCCCAGGTCTGAAACCATTTCTTTGCCCCCCCTTATCCTCAGAGAAGCTGCTATATCACTCACTCATTCACCCACTCACTTCCTTGCACTTCTCTCGTGCTTCATCATCTAACACTCAGAACACACACACACACACACACACACACACACACACACACACACACACACTCCCTATTCTGCAGCATCTCTCACATAGCTCCACACCACTGTTGCCCCTGCTCCTTCACAGCCAAACTCTGGACAATTACAAGTTACATTTTCAGGGCCCAACACATTCCCATAGCACCCAATAAATCAGGTAGTTCTCTTAGGTTCGGAATGTCACATTGGCCCATGCACATAGCTGTAAGTTGGTGAGGAATCCCAGACAGAAAATGACATTGGAATTCAAGACTTAACAGTAATGACTAATTAGCTGGACCTTGAGTGGTAGGGAGTACTGCAGACTAAGGTTGCTTCAAACTCTGACCTTGAATCAGTAAAAACATACCTCATATATTTGTCTCTAGGGACAACCAGATATTTGTCTCCAGGGACAACCAGTTTGCTTTTAATCTGTTCTGAAGTCTGAAATCAGCTGTCTGTGTGAAAGGCTGTCATTGTGACTGAGAATGTTATGTCTATCTTCCTGGTCATCATATGGTCATCTCCCTGACCATCCACAGATATATGTGTTCCCAATAGATGGCATATTTGTACATAATAAATACACAAGCAGTAAGAATACACCCAAAGCTTTTCTTAGGGGAGAAATGAAGTTGTTAGGAAGAAATGAGGTGGCTTATGATAGAAAATACAGAGACAAATACTTATCTACGGCCAGTAACACCCCTTGGCCTTACCAGGTGGGGCTTCCCAATCAGGAAACATGTCTGGTGGGTCAACTTGCTAAATACTAGTTGTCACTATTGTACATTCCTATGGCCTCCTCTAC